CCACAGTTCATACATCAGTCTAGATCATACTTGCAACCGCACCGTTCGCCGTACCGTGCAGTGCACCACATGGCGTGCGGCGCGGCGCCTGCTCGTGCGCATGCCATCGGCAGTATCCCTTTTCTTGTTTTTGCTTTTTGCTGCTTTTGTAGATATAGAAGAGTCCAACACCTAAGGAGCTGATAGTTTTCAAGTACAGTTGTCCAGAATTTTCTTTCCGTCCAATTGGGCATGAGAAATACCCTAAAAAAGGTGTCTGGGACATCAGTCTCGACCTTTAGGTAGCAGCATTACCCTCCCACTAGTTTTTTTTTTTTTTTTTTTCCATCCCACAACAAATCTTTAAAGGGAACGCAGGTGACCATTGACTGAGCCATGCAACGACTTTTTTTTTGAGTGAATATTTCCCCCGTGCGCCACACCGTGCGCGTCCACTTGTGCGCCAAACGTGCGGAATTTTCTGCACGGCGTCCGCTTGCATGTATGCTCTTGATACATCGATAATGAATGTACGTCAGTCTAGATACAGCGACAATGACCGTATGTCATGACATTCCTGTTTGTTTTAAGCAAAAATTATAAATCTGAATTCTACTGCCCAAGGAGAGTCTAGCCTAGACTGAGACAACAGAGTTCCTTCAGGCAGGTTTAGTGTACAAAACTCGACAAGACAAATACAGCAAATACTTGCGCATGGTGCTGGTCCGAATCTTGCTGCCCCCAACAGATACATTTCATTAATCTTCTCCATAGAAATTGATTCTGTTTTTCAGTTCTTGTTTAGCAGAAACAAATCGTGCTTCTTTTGATTTACCAGAAGCTCAATCTGAGTTAGTTGCAGGTATGGCTACGTTGCACCCGGACAAATGGACCAATCTGGACATCTGGCAGGACCTCCAGACTGTCCGGATGCCCCCCCCTTGGTTGTCACTTCGTCCTCGTACTTGGTTGTGAATTTCGGGATGATCCTCAGCCAAAAGATCTTGTAGTGCAATGCTGCATAATATATCTTCTTTCAGATTTTTCTGATTTTATTTCACGGAGGGGGACAGATCCAGACGCACTGGATCGGACATTGGAAATCCGGACACAGAGCGGGACCCAGAGCGTCCACAATGCAATCCGGATGTCCGGATCCCAGCCATGGTTGCAGGCTATGATGTAGAATATATTCTTCCATGGGTTTTACTCTCTTTTAAATAAATAAATTTTAAGAAAAACAGCTCTCCTTTTTTTCAGGGGAACGTGCCAATATGAACTTAGTGAACATAACAGAATCAAAACAGATTCATTTTAATGGTTAAACCACCAGTACTTCCTAAAGTCATGCCCGTTAACAAGCCACAATTTCAGGAAATGTACGGGTCACTACAGGAGCGCCCAAATTCATCCAACTAGAAACGTTTGTACTTTTTCCATGACCAATAGCTGAGATAAGTACTGGTGGTTGAACTGCATAGAAATTGTGTATTTCACTATTTTGGCAGGGTATTTAATATTTATGAATGAATTCAGTGAGTGTAACATATTCATTTTAATGGTTAAATGCACAGAAATTTTGCGTATTTTGACAGGTATGTTATGAAAAAACTTCAAAAAACTTGAAAAAAGATCACTGTGAAAAGTTTTTTCAAAACATGATAAAATCATAAAAAAATATTTTAACCAGACGTGAAAACACTGAAAATCAGGGCTGTAAACCCGGTCCCACCGGGGGGTCCACCCCCAACCGGAACCGGGCCGGTTGCCCTCCGGTTGGCTATAGCGCATAGGCAAATACTGGCCGAATCAAATTTTTCCCGGGCCAGGAGGCCCCCACGCGGTTTGTGGGGGCCTCCCGGCCCTAAAAAAAATTGAAACGGGTCAGGTAGGGCAGCCTCCAAGTTTCGAAAAGGGCTGCCTCTCTGGACCGCTGATCTCCAAAGATCGGCGGCCCAGATGAGGCCTCCATTTTCGAAACTTGGAGGAGCTGCTGTTCCCTCCCGCCTATGACTTCCCGCCTCCCCCCGACTCACCAGCTGTCCCGTCAACAAGTCAATGTCCCTGCTCCCGTCGCTGTCGTCATCATCATCGTCGTGCAGCAAAGCCAGCCCCCCCGCCCGCCAGTGCGCCACAGGTACGTTTTCTTCTTCTTTTTCTTCTTCTTCTTCTTCTCCTTACGTTGTGTGGAAGCGTAGGCGCGCGGTACACACAAACACACACACACACACACACACACACACACACACACACATACACACAGAGCGGCGTGCGGTGGTTCGTGGGCGCGGCACAGAGAGAGAGAGAGAGAGAGAGAGAGAGAGAGAGA